CTGATGGTAAGTGGTTGCTGCGGCCCACAGACATCTACATCTATCCTCCATTAAAAATCAAAATGCAGATGCGTTGTCACCCGTGAGGACTGAGATGGAATGCCTCGTTTCCAGTAAAAAGGGTCTCCGGTTCTCTACACTCACCATACGAAATACAGCAGCATTAAGCTACTATTTCACGCTGGTATTCTGTGAGAGCGTGGTCCTTCCCCGGTAAAGCCGACCCATTCATATAATATAGCTGCGGTGTGGCTCTACTACGTACTGCATCACTATATAGTACACTATATGACAATACATTTACTGCATGACCTTCCGTGACACGATCATATTTATTTTGTATACATTTATTATTAGTATTACAGTTAGTATTAGACAGTGCTCTGATAAATATAGATTATGGTTTATTTGATGTTAAACACTAAATATAAAAATTGTTAGTTGACTAAGTATAGATACCGTACCATCAATGAAATTTCAACGTTCAGTTAACCTTCTTCCTACACGTTGAGCGTGACATGTTCTTTTGTGTAATTCGCATAAGTTTGCTAAATATGAGTGTTATATCGTGTTAGTATCATACATAGAGCACCGACTTGTTAATCTCTACAATGTCTTCCAGGCCGATTTCGGTCTTAACGAATGCCAGCTGGGTATGATCTGCGCAAGACTGAATTATCGTGCATGAGTGTGTGAGCAAACTATGTGCTTGTCGCGACCCACTGGTAAGGTGATCGGGTCAAATCAATTCAATCACTTCTATCGTTCGTTTATTCTTCCATCGCGGATCGTCGTTCTCAAAATAGACATTGAATATTTAATTTATTTCAACTTAATTTTCATACATACATACGTATATTGGAAATATGAGGATATTTCCAAAGCCATGCATTCCTCCAAAACCCACTACACGGTGTTGATGGGAGACTTCAACGCAAAACTAGGCACAAGAGAAAACGGTGAGCTGAAGTTAGGGAAATTTGGAATAGGGCAACGGAACCGAAGGGGCCAGCAGCTGGCCGACTTTATGGAGAAAGAGGGACTCTTTATGATGAACTCTTTCTTCCAGAAGCGGCCCCACAGGAAGTGGACCTGGTCGAGGCCCGACGGTTCGACAAAAAATGAGATTGACTTCATTATGACGACCAGACGCCAACTGTTCAGTGATGTCTCAGTGATCGCAAGGGTGAAAACTGGCAGCGATCACCGAATGGTTAGAGGCACACTGAACCTAAACGTTAAGTTGGAGAGGTCTCGTCTAATGAAGTCAACGCTCCGTCCCCCTCGTGCTCTAATCCAGAATCCTGAAAACTTTCAGCTCGAGTTACACAACCGCTTTCAGTGCCTACAAGATTGCAATGCAGTGGACGATATGAATGACAAGCTCGTGGAAACTGTCCATGCGGTCGGAGCTAAGTTCTGCAAGACACGCCGCAGAAGAACACAAAAACTCTCCGATCACACTCTTAATCTCATGGCTGTTAGACGGGAGATGAGGCTGCAATCGTCAACAGATTTGACAGCATACAGGCAACTGAACAGACAGATCTCCAAATGCATGCGGCGAGACTTACGCAACTTTAATACTTCTCGTATTAAAGAAGCGATCGAGCGGAACCAGGGCTCCAAAGTCTTTGCCAGAGATCTGTCTGCCAGAAAGAGCCAACTGTCAAAGCTGAAGACTGAGTGTGGCAACATCGTTTCCGGGACACCTGAGATTCTGAGTGAGATTGAGAGGTTCTATGGGCAGCTGTACACATCATCGTTGGAGCCACACTCAAGTGTGAGTAACGATCCAAGAGCAAGTCTTATCCGACACTATTCCGATGATATCCCGGACGTCAGTCTGAGCGAGATTAGAATGGCTCTCCAACACCTTAAAAACGGCAAGGCCCCGGGCGAGGATGGAATTACAGCGGAGCTTCTGAAAGCGGGTGGAACACCGGTACTTGAAGTCCTTCAGAAGCTCTTCAATTCCGTCCTCCATGGTGGCACTACTCCAGAGGCGTGGAGCAGAAGTGCGGTGGTCTTGTTCTTTAAGAAAGGCGACAACGCTCTCTTGAAGAACTACAGACCGATTTCCCTTCTGAGCCGCGTCTACGTGCTGTTTTCGAGAGTCATTACGAATCGTCTCGCAAGCAGACTCGACGACTTCCAGCCTCCCGAACAAGCCGGTTTCCGAAAAGGCTTCAGTACCATAGACCACATACATACCCTGCGGCAGATTGTACAGAAGACTGAAGAGTACAATTTGCCACTTTGCCTGGCGTATGTGGACTATGAGAAAGCCTTTGATTCCGTCGAAATTTGGGCGGTGCTGCAGTCCCTTCAGCGGTGCCAAGTTGACTGTCGGTATATCGAAGTGCTGAAGTGTTTGTACAGTAGGGCTACGATGGCTATCCGAGTACAGAACCAGAGCTCGAAACCTATCCAACTGCAGAGAGGTGTAAGACAGGGTGACGTTATATCCCCGAAACTCTTCACCGCTGCTTTGGAAGACGTTTTCAAGCTACTGGACTGGAAAGGATACGGTATTAACATCAATGGCGAGTACATCACTCACCTTCGATTTGCCGACGATATAGTCCTTATGGCAGAATCGCTGGAGGACCTTAGCACTATGCTCAATGACCTCAATGGTGTCTCCCAACGGATAGGTCTTAAGATGAACATGGACAAAACAAAGATCATGTTCAATGTCCATGTCACACCTATGCCGGTAGTTGTGGGGAGCACTATGCTCGAAGTTGTTGACGAGTACGTTTACCTGGGACAAATAGTCCGACTAGGTAAGTCCAACTTCGACCGAGAGGTCAATCGACGGATTCAACTCGGCTGGGCAGCGTTCGGGAAATTACGACACATCTTCTCGTCAGGTATACCTCAATCTCTGAAAACTAAAGTGTACAACCAGTGCGTGTTGCCAGTGATGACTTACGGATCAGAGACGTGGTCCTTCACTGCTGGCCGTATGAGGACGCTCAAGGTCGCTCAGCGAGCTATGGAGAGGGCTATGCTCGGAGTTTCTCTGCGTGATAGACTCAGAAATGAGGATATCCGCAGTAGAACCAGAGTGACCGACATAGCCCAACGGATTAGTAAGCTGAAGTGGCAATGGGCCGGCCATATAGCTCGAAGAACCGATAACCGATGGGGAAGAAAGGTTCTCGAGTGGCAGCCTCGTACCGGTAGGCGTAGTGTAGGGCGACCCCCCACTAGATGGAGTGACGACCTGGTAAGATATGCAGGAAGTCGATGGATGCAGGTGGCTCAGGACCGTGCTTTGTGGCATTACTTGGGGGAGGCCTATGTTCAGCAGTGGACTTGTGAAGGGCTGTAATGATGATGACGATGACATACGTATATATCCATATGTGTGTGTAAGATCATTGAATATTTATTGAACTAGTGAACCGTCTCGACTTCGCACGGGTGGTGATTTCTGAATCTTCAAATCACCGGCATCAGCTATAGCTAAAAACTATCCAAGTGACCCCATAAGTTTCCCATAAAAATTTCTTAAAAGTCGGTTAATCCGTTTAAGTGGGAAAGAATTACGAACACACCCACACCGGAATTTTGTATAAATATATTACAGAATTATAGTTATTGTTAATATACCGGCCCATATATTTACATCAAAGTCATAAATAGCACAATACACACAATGAATAAAGCAAGAAAATTGCTATATATATATATTTTTATATATATATATATATTGAATACACATAGGTGGTCACGGCTCACGGCTCGCGAATGGATCTCGGAAGTGATTCGATCAATTGCGGTCCACACAAACTTAAGACAGATGCACTCTCTTTTCACTCACTTTCATTGTCTGATGTGACGGCAAGGAGAGAGATAAGGTCATGGACGTAAAACATGGGCGTAAAACACCCCATCTCCTATCTTTCTGACTCCGGGCAGCTACTGAGAATTTTCTTGATAGAAAATCTCAACAACTGATTTTGGCTCGACGCGGAAATCAAACTCGGGACATGTGGTCAGCAGTTGCACTTACTGCTAGTCCAACGAGGCAATGGATCTCTACATGTAGAGCTATAGAGCAGATAATTGAGAAGCTCTAAGTCTATGATTGATTTAAGCTCACACATGCGTGTACCTAGAAAAAGTATTAAGGCTACACAAAATTGGGGTATTTTGAACATAAAAGTACTAGCGGCCCACCCTGGCCTCGCCTGGTTGCTGCGGCCCATAGACATCTACATCTATCTTTCATTACAAATCAAAATGCAGATGCGTTGTCACCCGTGAGGACTGAGATGGAATGCCTCATTTCCAGTAAAAAGGGTCTCCGGTTCTCTACACTCACCATACGAAATACAGCAGCATTAAGCTACTATTTCACGCTGGTATTCTGTGAGAGCGTGGTCCTTCCCCGGTCGAGCCGACCCATTCGTGCTACAACTATACTACTAATATAACTGCAGCATGGCTCTACCACGTAAAAATTATTTATATAATAATTTTTAATAAAAATCTATTAATAAGGCCATATTTAAATTTAACATAATCAAAAACCATTTTTTAAATGTTTTATATTCAAAAATATTTACGAATTAAATATATACTATGTGTGCATAAACATCTACATATTTTAAAAAAAGTTATTAGAAAAGTAAAATGACTAGCATAGCCATAACAGTTTAAATATATTTAAATAAAAATGTAGAGTCAGTTATCCTAGTGATAGAGAAAGGAATAATTAAAAAATGCACTTAATTTGCGTGAATATTATTTGTTTATTTTTTTTTCTTTATTTGAAGTACTTACAAACTTTAATTTATCTTACACTTTTTTTTAAAGAAATAACTCGTGCGTAATTTAAATGTGTGCGTATTTTAATGCGTTCTACTATAACTTTGTTAAATATTACGCACAAGTACAATAATATATTATAGTAAACTATAATCTTGCAAATTGTGAAATTAATATAATGTTTCACAAGCCATCGAAAACATAGAGGTTACTCTTACCCTTCTATTATCTCCTGTCGGTTTCTTCTGCTCAGTTTGCACTCCTGGGGAGCCCATGTTGCCGTTCACCATCACGATTGAATTAGAGACACTCTGTTGCGGTCCGCTAGCAATTCCTGTCACCATACTGTATATATTGTCAACCTAATCACTGAATCGCGATGTAAAATCACTGCATAATCGCACAAGGCAGCGGTAATCACTACACGTGCGGCTCGTGCTGCAGTCGACGCACGACTGGCGCGAGGCGGGCTTGAGCTTGGGCGCCGCAAGCCGAGAGCAGACGGCGGACGCAGGGAAGCGCGGCGGCCACGCGACTTGTGCACGCTACACGCCTCTCCCGCTCGCGTGCCTCCCCTTAGGCCATCTACACACTTTATCGTATCAATACTTTTTTCAGTCCTTGACTGCCTCATTAGACTAGTGGTTGTAAACGTGATTACCGATCATGGGACCTCATGTTCGAGTCCCGGGTCGGACCAAAATCGGTTATTGGGTTTTTCTGTCAAGAAATGCTCAGTAGCAACCCGGAGTCAAGACGTTGGTAGTGTTTCACCTGCGTGTCACGGAAAGTACATAAAACTTTTGGTCCTGCCCCTGATCTCTCTCTCTGGTCGTGTGAGAGTGAGGGAAAATAGAGTGCGTCTGTGCTTGCGTATATACTCGGATGCTATAATCCTGTACCGACTGGCCACCGTGACTGAATTTCAGTCTGGAGGAGATAATTTTTTCCGAAAAATGACAAACACGAAAACTAACATATCCTGATATTAAGGATACAGATGAAAACACCGATTATTCAAGAACATTTTTATTTTATACTGTAATAAAATTAAACGTTTGTTATATTGCACTGGCTTTCTTATATTCTAAGTTCGATCTTTGAAAAAATAAACATACCAATCGGTTCGCTGAGCATTACAACACAAATATGTAAGAGGACGTTAGCTAAACAGGCGGACTTAGAGGCAGAATAGGAGTTCTACAATATAGTTAGTTACACAGCGTTTATACGTCCCACAGCTGGGCGCAGGCCGCCCCTCATTGCTGAGCGGGTTTTAGGGCAAGGAATATCCGCCGCGCTGCCCCAATGCGTTTTGGCGAACTTCACATGTCTTCGAAATATTTTTTTCTTATTTCTCAGACATGCAGGTTTCCTCAGGATGTTTTCTTTCACCGCCGAGAACATGGTAAATCAGCACTTAAGATTTTCGGGGTGTTCGAAAACAAATAAAATAGATCTTAAAAAGTTTTTGCAATTAACAATTTCATTGGTACCGGCCGGCGGGAATCGAACCCGGTTTGCTCGCGTACTGTGAAATTTACAGCGAGCGCTAACCATCTGAGCTAGCACGGCTCTCTCTCGGCTACAATCTAGTTTGCCAATCTTAAACTTAATACTATTTAAATTCTCAATATGTTGGGAATGTGAAAAATCCAATATCCTATTTTGTTCAGTGAAAAATTTAACATCAGTTAATTGACGGCTTGTCTATGTTGATAGACGTGGTAGCTCAAAGACATGTTACAATTTTAAGCGCTGAATTTACCAAGTACAAGGCGGTAAAGGAAAACTTCGTGAGGAAACATGCATCACTGTGGAATAAATATAAAAGGATATGTGAAGTACGACAACACGTAGGTACTAGACCAGCGTGGTGGAGGTTTGCTTCATAAACCTCACAGAAAATGGAGGCTTTTACCCAGTTGTGAGAGGTAAAAAGCTGTAATTTTAGTTGAGTAGATAAAGAAAAATATGATTGAGTTTGAAACATTCATCGTTTTATCATTGTAATTATGGGCAACATTTTTAAAGATACGTATTATTTTTAGATTTTTAGAGAAGCGCGCGTTTTACATTTCATATTAGGTACGTGAGCAAGTCGAATTCGATCCCCGTCGGTAGCAACTAAATTGTCAAAAGCAAAACATTATAAAAGAACCTGCATGTCTAACAAATATTTCGAAGTCGTGTGATACCGCCTACGCTCATGGGGCAGCGACTCTACCTTGCTCCTCTCTCAAAAAGTGTGAGGACACGTGTGCTCAGCTGTGAGACATATACAATACTTAAATTATTCAATGTTATTTTTATCATACAAGACCGGAAAAATAACTTTCACTACTTTTGCTCGAGGAGTGATATATGGCCAGTTTACAAGGTAGCCTAATTCAAATCGCCAGTGAAGCTGACATCATTCGCGACGCCGCGCCGGTCTCTTCTAATATATTGACGCCGAGCATAAATTTGTTCGCGTCTACCGGCAAACCGGCACATCAAAGCGACTGACGTCCGTTTGCCGCAGCTAAGCTAAGGTTACCATAAAAATATATCGTGATAAGAAAACTACGGATATAGTGCAGTTTGCAATGCAGTCACTAAAAATAAATACGCTAATTGAGTATCAATTTATAAATTTATAATACCTGAGTTTATTTATTTTATTTATTTATCTAATCTTTATTATCTATAAACCTAATAAGGGATATAAAGGACGGACTTAATGCCGAATGGTATATTACTACCATTGTAAACCATTATTAGAATATAAATTCTTACAAATATTTTTTTCCTTAATTTAGTTGTAATCTCATCTGATTAAAATTAATAAGTAAAAATGATTTTATAAAATACAATAAATTGTATAGCAGGTCATTTCGTAAATTATTCTTATACCATATTAAATTTATGTATGTAAAATTTATCTCTTGAAAAAAAAAACACAATTTCCTCTCTTTACTTAAGTTACTTGGTTGTTTGTTGTTGTTTGTTTGTTTAAACTAATTAACAAAATTGGGCGTTGTTTTACAAATATTCACATACAAAAAAAAACAATAAAAAAGCATCAAGACAAGAGAATACAATATCTAAGACTGATGTAAACAAAGTGTTGTGTATTACGCAGTTTCAAGAACATATATTCGTGAAATATTCACATTAATATTTAGGTAAAGGCTTTTCATCCTGTGGTTGTCATTAAGACAATTGTGGTAAAGTATCTTATGGCTGCCAATATGTCAATAATATACAGCGATACGACCATAACGTCAGACGCACCTAAAGTATCCAAACCGTTGCCGGAGCGCGCATCAAAGGTGCAAGACGTTTGATGCTGGTACTGCGACTCATTCGTCTGCTAAGCGTGTCGATGAAGGTAAATCCTCTTTCCAACGGAAGATCCCCAAGTCCAATGACAAATGAACTTTATGGTGAAGAGGAAAAAGAAAAATCGATTCTATTACGTAGCTACTACACGACGACTCAACATATGGGAAGGGAAATAATTGAAGGTAGTGTTGCCAGCTAGAATTTTTCACACGCGCTATATCTAGTGAAAAATGTTACCAGATTATGGAAATTTGATTCAAAAAAATCATCAGATTTCGCCAATTTTTTTTTATAGGATAGGGTGACAAACGAGCACACAGTCCACTTGATGGTAAGTGGTTGCTGAGGCCCACACACATCTACATCTAACCTCGATTACGAATTAAAATGAAGATGCGTTGTCACCCATGAGGACTAAGATGAAATGCCTCGTTTCCTGTAAAAAGGTTCTCTGGTTCTCTATTCTCACCGTACAAAACACACCAGTATTAAGCTACTATTTTACGCTGGTATTCTGTGAGAGCGTGGTCCTTCCCCGGTTAAGCCAACCGATTCACGCTACAACTATACTACTAAAATAACTGCAGTATAGCTCTACCACATATACATAGCACATAATATACGGAATTGTATATCATTTACCATAATATACCACGTATAAATTCTTGACATAATTTTTGCCACAATTATATCAAATACTTAAAAATAACGGTCTGTTGGTTGTAGCTATCGCATTCTGCAGCTTCCACTGTCCTGACTCAAAATTAAACAATAATTAACTTAACATTTAGTAGATAACTAAATCGCATTTAATCTTGTAGTATTCATATCGAGTGTTATCAAAATATTCACTTCCCCATATTTTCGTAAGTATCGCAAGGGTGTCGTGAGAGACCTGACACCCTGACAGAGAGAAACTGAAACAGGAGATAGGCAGCAGCATTTTTCTAATAACAACTCAAAACAATAAAAAAATTTGGTTGTCAACCTAAGAGGCAAGCTATGGGGCATGTTCAGCGGTGGATTTCATCGGCTGTAATGAAATGGAACGTGAAGAAAATCGCTATGCTGGCGTTACTGATTGAACACTTTAATAGAGACGGACGCATCTCATTAATAGTAACTACGTAAGTGGAAAAATAAAAAAGCTCGGAAAACTCGGAACGGCCATGGTAACTTTATGAAACAAAACAGGAATCTCGCGGTAAAACTTTCATTAATTGAATCGGAACACAATTGAGAGGATTCTAAATCGGACAGAGAGAAACTGAAACAGGAGATAGGCAGCAGCATTTTTCTAATAACAACTCAAAACAATAAAAAAATTTGGTTGTCAACCTAAGAGGCAAGCTATGGGGCATGTTCAGCGGTGGATTTCATCGGCTGTAATGAAATGGAACGTGAAGAAAATCGCTATGCTGGCTGGTTACTGATTGAACACCATAATGGAGACGGACGCATCTCATTAATAGTAACTACGTAAGTGGAAAAATAAAAAAGCTCGGAAAACTCGGAACGGCCATGGTAACTTTATGAAACAAAACAGGAATCTCGCGGTAAAACTTTCATTAATTGAATCGGAACACAATTGAGAGGATTCTAAATCGGATTGTTTGTTTTTCTATATAGAAATAAAATAAGGTTAACAAACGTGCACACACTCCATCTGATGGTAAAAAGATGTTATGGCCTATATACACTTACATATTATAACCTCGATCGAGAATCATTATGAAGATTCGTTATATGAATTTTCTTCTCTTAAACCATTTTACGGGAAGACCGTTTATTTCCTCCCTTATAAGTTTTCTTTGCATCGCATTGCATTTTTTTTGTATTGACTTTAATATCTTAATATATATAAATTACGTGTCACGTTGTTTGTCCGCGATGGACTCCTAAACAACTTAACCGATTTTAATCAAATTTGCACACCATATGCAATTTA